AAATAATTTTTTAAATATTGAATTCAGTTTTAATTAGGAAAGAACATATCAATCCTGACTTTAAAAAATAATTGGACTCACAATCTTAAATTAAGTGGTTTTATTTAATTAAAATTCAATTTAAAATTTAAAAAATTATCTTATTAAATATTAATATTTAGATTTAAAAATTGATTACATTAAAATATATAATAGGTTTCTAAATTTAGATATTAACATTTAATAATATGAGATTTTAATTTTTAAATATAAATTAAGACTCCACTTATTTTTAAAACTCAAAACTGATACATACTAACTCATATATATACATATATAATAGTTTTAGCACCCAATCAGATCTTGTGCTAATTTAACCCCAAATTATATGAACTACAAAAATTGAGGGCAAAAGAATCAAAATTGACTTTTTATTAATTTATAGTAACTCCAAAAAAAAGTGCAGGGACTAACCAAAAAAGTTGAAACGACAAAGTGCCATACGCCGTTTTGAGAAATCAATCGCTCTTGTTCACTCCACGAAACCCGTCGATGCCTCCTCTAACAGGAAAACCAGAAAAATGTAGAGGAGAGTGATATTAGCTTTCTTCCTCACTCTCTCGCTCTTCTCCTTCCCCTCTTTCCAATTCGAATCTGATGAGCTTCTCCTAGATGACCAGGAGTTCAGTCTCGAGGGCGCTCCACCTCACTTCCCTGAACTCGCATCCATCCTGCTGCTACTACATCCTCCCGGAAGAGGCATTCGGAGCTAGAGTCTGACTCCAAGATCCAGTTCTCTCTGGAGCACGCTTTCGATGACTCCGATTTGGTTCCCGCTGGCACCTTCTCTGCCCGCCGCAAGACTTGGAATCACGGTGGCCAGGTTAGATTTAAAATCAGATGCTAAATTGCTAATCTTGAATTCATTTCTGATTACTAGTTTAGCTTCTTGGTTATTTTCGCCCTGTTTTGCTGTTCTGGGGATCTGTTTAATTGCTAAAATAAAGTTTAAAAACTGAGGTACAAATTGAGATTTACTAAAGAGCTTACACTTCCTCTTCCCATCCTCTTTTTTTCCCCTTTTTATCTCAGAAACTCAATGAAGTTTTTGAATTCTTTTGTTGAGATTTGAAT